GCTGCCAACCTTGCCCATAAAAACAAACTCAAAACCGTCATTGTTACTGACAGTTTGTCTGTATTACTAGCTACCCGGAACCCTTCGACTTCGAGATGGAGCACCATCAACAAATTAAGGAATATAATTACTACACCCGACGGAAAAATTAAAATGTTATGGGTACCAAGTCACATCGGTTTACTGGGAAATGAGCAGGCTGATCGAGCGGCAAAGTATGCTGCTTCTGCTCCTCTAATTATGGATGATGTCATGGAAAAGTTGGATCTTCAAAGATACATTGGAAGAAAAATTAAAGAGAAAATTGCAGAAGGAAATTTACAATACCATCATCAACACTACTCTTGCATTAACCCTCAATTAACTCCACTTCTATATCCAACAAATGTTGAGAAAACCAAGATCCAAACATTTTCGAGAATTCGCCTTGGTCATACAATTGCAACTCACCAATGAATCCTGAAGAAGTCTTCTTCCCCAATCTGCTGTTGTGGACAAACTCTTACTATAAAGCACATTCTCTGCGACTGCCTCAACTTTTCCTTGGCTAGAAGTATTGCATTTGGAACGATTAACCTTTTGGACATTCTAAAATCTGCTTCAGAACAGAATATCAATTCAATATGTTACTTTATTAATACTACTAAGCTGATTATCTAATGTACATTTATTTACATAAATTAGAGCCGATAGCCTGTGTTGCTAGTGCTCAATGTCTTTTTTTTGGTCTAAGAGTTTATTTCACTAGTCTAAAATTAAAATAATAATAATAATAGATTTAACTTCATAAAACTTAACGAGCACTACATAACCAAATATTTCAGTCAGTTTGATATTGATATAATTGCGATTCCAAGAAGAAAGAAGTTTGACATCGTCAGCGTACGGCTGAATCTAATCACCGATGGGAGATCATTAATGTATAAACTAAATGAGTGGCTGCTTTGAGGGACGCCCGACGTCATGGGGAATTCATTTGAGATAATGAAGTTAAACAGAACCCTGAACGACCTGTTATGCAGATAAGAGTTTATCTACTTCACTAAGTAGAAAGGAAAGCCAGAGACTTATATGCGACATTCCTGCGTGAGCCACTGGAAAAAGCATTGAAAACACGGCAAATAAACTCTAAGAGACTCGTATTAGTTGATCTTCACACAAGTAGAACACTTGATAGCGAAAGCTAAATGCTGAGTAACAATTCGCTCAAAAAATTAAGATAAGACGCGCAACTTGGTAATGCCTCTATAGCTTTCAACGTAAAGTCTGTTCTGATATTTGTGAAGCGGAATAAGGAAGCCACTCTTTCAACACAAAGGGAAAACACCTGATCTCAAGGACTGATAGCACCTAATTCATCAGAGCATGATTTGAGTATACATGATGGAATTCTACCAGCCGCACAACTATAGAGAGATCTCAAACCATATAAAACGTCGTTCTCTGAAATGACCAAGATAGAAATTGAAACCGAGTTTTTTATCAGATACGAACAATGAACAATCAAATCGAAATCAGCAGTTGAAGGTATTTGCAACAACATTGGTGATCGCCATTACAATTAAGGGTTTTATTGTAGTTAATTACGATCAAATAATTCATAGAAAAGCACAATAGCTATATCATATGTTGAAGTGGGGACCATACAGCCAGAATTATCACTATAAAACCAAATGACTTGTGGCAAATTGAAGTCCTCCAGCGCTATGGCTATATCAGAAGGCTTAGACTTTTCGGCCACGTCACAAAAGAAGGCAAAATGTTTTTCATAAATAGATATATTGGCATTTGGGGAGATATAGGGTCAAGACTCGTATAACAGTTTATTGGCAATTTTCGCTCCATTGGCAATAAATTGAACGTCGGGACGAGCAGGAAGTTCAAATGAGATGGCCGGGACGGCAGTAAGTACGGTAATAAAAACATCAACCAATGCGATCCAACCAATCTTTTCTAAAAACCTGGAAAGAATTGTGAAATATGTGACACAAATAGTGCACACTCATAAATATTGGAGGGTATTGCCGTCAAGCAGACTTCGCTCGTGTTAGAAATGATCGGATTCACACATAAAATATTTTGTTTTGCGGGGAAATTAGAGGGAGAAACTACACTTGTTCGTGCAGCTCATGCGACTTGCCCACCATGGTGAGCAGCGAACATGCCCGAACAGCTAGGTATTATTTTTATTAATTTTCCTGGAGATGTAGACAGATTAGTCTGAGTGGCACCATTGGGAGAAGATATACTTGCCATCTCAGTACAGCTAAAACGGGAAGGTCTCCCCGTCTTATTTGTAGCTTTTGTGCTACCAGCTCTGTCAACGATGGAGGAAACGCTAATGTTCTTTGCCAGCAAAGATGGAACGCTCGAATAAATCAACGTATGAGATATAGGCGAAGATGGAGGTGAAGGACCGCACGCTACACTACGAGTTGGTCTTTTACAGGCAGAGGCACTAGATCAGAGCTCTAGATAGCGGCACCCATCGAACATTGCCTTAATTTTTTCAATCTTCCCACACCATGAGATTATCACGTAACTCAGAAAACCCATTGTCTCCGTAACTATCAAAAACACAGTAAACAAAGATATTTAGAGAGCTAGATAGATTATAAGAAAGAAAAAATTTTTTTTTTACGAAAACGAAGTACCCCAATTGCCAAAAGCAAAAACTTGAGTAAACGAAATATAATGTTACTGAAAGAAAAGGAGGTTTTTCGGTTCTTCGGATTATTTATCAGCAAGTTAGAAAGTAACGTTCGTCTAAAATTATGTTTCTTTACTTCAATGATCATGGAGCATTACTTCACGTTAACTACCATTCATAGCCAATAGTGGATGGCTTGAGCCTAAGCTGCAGCTTCACAACTATGGTTCCAAAGCTCTTTACAAACTAATCCGCCAACGTCAAATACTGCACCAGGTCAGACATCCTAAAATTAATTTACGATTCATTTAGGCACGATACAAAAAGAAGTAGATAGGCTGAAAAAACACTGGTTTGACAATGCTTCAACTCAAATTCAAATGGACTGATAACAGACGGACAGACAAGCTTAGATCGATTTAAAAAGTGATTTCGAATCGATCGCTATAATAAAAAGTCAGTCTATTTAAGCCCTTCGGGTTATTACATACGTTCGCGCTAATTTAATATACCCTGTAACACAAGAGTAGAGTATAACAACTGTAAATTGCAAACGAAATTGTTTACTTACAAATCGGTGGAAAAAAGGCTTTCCGAATACGTTTTAGGAAAAATTGGCAAAATGCTCGTGTTTTTCCCCGAAAAATACGTGTTTGCTACAGGCTTGTAAACGAGACAGAAATGTTAATAATTGGCGCCACAAAAAGAAGAAATTAGAACTAAACAATATAAAAATACGACATTTTAAATCAGCAACGTTCTCCTTTCGCTACGTATAATTATGTAAAAAGAAGAGAAGTCTGCGTTTTATTTGACAATAAGTTTAATGGTGTGCGTATGATATTTGAAATCACAATTTTAAAAAATTTTGTTTTTAGTATAAATTATTAGACTGTAGCAAATTGTCTGAGACCTCATTTCGCCATTTTTCCAGCAACTTACTAGTGTTCCTTTTGAGCGGTAAGTGATGCTCAATGGATATACCAAAAGCGTTGAGATTATAAATTAAATACTCTAACACATACATATAGTCTGGCTGGATGTAATGAAACGAGATAGCATTATTGGAGCAGCATCTTAAACCCTAAAAGAAAATAATAGAATTCAGTTACGAAAGCATTTTTTCAGTTATACGGATTTGTGGTTTTCGAAGTTTTAGTTAGATTAGATTAGATCCCTGATCAAAGTCACTTGTCCCTTTTGGTTTCATAAGCTTTCACCTATCATCGGCATTAAAATTTTGGTCTAAGGGACTGATTGTCAAGAGATTTATTTTGCAAATTTTAGGGAATATCAGCATAACTTGATTGAAGAACTTAACAAATAAGTTGGATATAACTGTAACAACTAAAGATGCTACATCTTTATCAGGAGTAGATGATGGCGAAGGTCCTACTCCTCTTTTTGGAGTTTGCGAACATCTAAAAATATTTATGATTTATGACTTCATTTGTCTAATGTGATTTCTATGAACGTCGCCGGAAGTAGTGCGTAATAGTGGTGGATTTGGAAGTGGTATATTCATGTTGAGACAAGGTTATATTTTTTATTTTTCTATTTTCGAGGAAAGTGCAGAATTTAAAAACGATGTTCTTCAATAGTTCTTTTGAATATAGTGCAGATGTCTACTTGAATTTTATACTGATACTGGAATATTTGAACGATCTTCATTAGAATCAGAAACATTTCAAAAATAGCGGCAAATAAGAGGTACAGACCGGATAATCGAATATGGGAAGTTGCACTGTATACTATATTATGAAATGTATTTCGATTTTGGTTTTAAAACATTCCACCTATAGGCTTTTTTTCCCAACTCTGCACGAATCTTCACCACAAGATGACATTTGCAGTAAAGAAAACCCGTACGAATTTTTTGAGTTTTGAATATCTATGCTTCAACTCGATTTCTTGCTTTTAATAAAATATTCTATCAACATGTGAAAATTATTTGTCGTGTAGTGGGTTCATGGTACGACGTACTTGAATCTGATTTTAAAAAAACCATTGCGGTTTACTTTGATCGCGGATATTTTTAAGTGTATTCTAGATACGGAACGATAAGACGACCATCTGATATTTTTTATTTTCGTCAATTGTTATCTACCCATTCTCTGCATTTGCATTTTGCGCAATTTTATGTTTATTGTTAATAGAATTAATAATCCTTACAGCTTTAGTCGCATAAAAAATGTAGCGCCAATACCAGCTCGATTTATTCTTGGGTACGATAAGGTCATGCAGCCTAAACGGGAAAAATCGGCCACGCTTTTGATCATCCCGCGAATCGCCAGCTACAACGCCAACGTTTTGTAAACAATAACCCATTTGTTCGTCTTCCGCACCGCCTTTACTTTGGCGACATATAGTACGATTAGGATAAGCTTCCAATGCAAACCTACGTAAAGCTTCCTTGCTTAAGACGTAACCAGCCCCACCAGACATGTAGCCCTGGGAACGAGAAGAGCGCATGTGCAAACATATTTATGTAACTGTAGTTCGACTTAAATGACAATACCTGTCTCACATATTTTTTGAATTTACAGCCGAAATAAACTGGTGCATCCGTAGAAAAAGAGTAGAGAAATGCTCGCAGATTTTCTAATATAACATAGCTACATAATTAAAAGCAATTTCCTCTTTCTTTTATATTAAAATGTAAATATTTTGCTTATAACTTACGTGTCATCGTCGGCCTTCAGAAACCAATCACCATCATCATAGTGATTTTCATAGATGTATTTCATTGCTTCTCTTGTCTTGTGCCATAGATTTCCACGTCCTTCGCCTACTGCCAATTTAATTGTTCCTAACTCCTTATCTTCTGCTGAACTCATAAAAAGTAATTTATTGCATCTCGACCCCCAAGTACGTTTCACGTGTATGGCCTTTTTAGCATGGTTTTTGGGTCCCGTCAAAATCCAACATACTATTCTAATTTCACTGAATAAGCGATTCGCCAAAGTTCGATTTACTTTACGTTGTTGACGTTGATTTGAAAACTCAATTAACTCGCCGTTTTCCGTTAATTGCCAAGCTTGCAAATTTGTACTATTTATGACATCTTCATTATCTCCGTAGAGTTGATAATTAACTTTTGGAGGGTTTTCACAATTTGATAATTTTGTTTTCATAGATGTAGAGATGGTGATTACCGGCGTTATTTTACAGTTTGTTGTAAAGAGAAGTTGAGCAAACGCAAAACCGAGCAGAAAACCCACTATAAGGGTCACGAACATCTTAAACGGTGACATATTCCCTTTTGACTGCATAATGCAATTATTAGTTTCACTTTGTTATCACCATTTTTCCTACTATTTTTAAAATATTCTTAAAATTATTACTACTTTTTGGTGGGCCGTGAAAACGCAACGTACTTCAGAAATATATTGAACGATTTAATTGTGCTCTTCACATTAAATTTCAAGCTTTGTTTCTTTGTGCTTCACGATCCCAAAAAATTCAGCTGAAAGCAGGGAAGTACGTTTTGAAGCTTAGGTTGTGCTAGTCGATTGAGGTATTGTCAGCATATTTTTTGTGTTAATATCGAAATACCATATGATGTCGAGGCATTAAAATAAGCGAAGGTTTGCAAAGAATATTAAATGGGGACGTCCATCCGACGGCGTGTAAAGTTTTGGAAGCGATAAGAAACTGTAGACGGTTAAATGATCATTACAACTGCAAACGAAAATAAAATGTTCATTTCGCGAGAAAGATAGACTTTCCATTTTTGAGTGAAACTAATCTCGATCAAACATTGCTAACTAACTGAAAGCAATGTGCATCTTAAAAACTTATGCTATCGCTGGCAAGGCAAAAGTAGCTGTATCGCATTAGCAATCGTTTAAGTGCGTGCTCTATGATTCTCATTATTTGCATGCGCAATAATTCTGTTAAGTATTTACCGCCGCGATATCACATTATATTGACAAAGTACACATTCCTATAACCTAATAACCTATGCGCGTGTTTGGTTTGGTATGCATATTTGTATGAAGGGAAAATCTGATGATGAGATAATCAATTTTACCTTTCATCGTTTACATTAGTTTACATTTAAAATTTTTTTAAATAGATCAATAAAATCATACATTTTGTGAATATTTGTTCAATAATCTTTTCTTTGAATGAGCTTAAAAGTGGAAAATAAATTTTGTGTTAATTACTTTTGTCAACGTGATTGTGGTGAAAATCATCACGTCGAGGATAGCGGCATGTTTAGGTCGTAACCAACTCAATTTGCTTGTTGCATTCTCCTTCCTAAGATCTTTAATTTACATCCAGACGGAACTGTTAAGGTAACCTTCATCAGATCCACCTTATTTAATTTGAAACTAATCCACAAAGCTTGTTGCATTCGACTTTTCAAACGCTTCTATATGACACCGATATCGACGGGTTTGCTAAGAAGGTCTATCGCTTTGTAGAGACCGTCACTTTGAATATATGGAAAAGCTGAAACGATACATACCTATTTAGCATATATAATACGCTAAAAATTATACTTCATTTTCATGAAATTTCTATGAAAGCGTCGATTTTGGAACGTTAACTGACGTGATCTATATTTAGCATATTAGATTTACTTATTAAAGATTTTATTATTTTTCACCGATGTTTGTCACACAAATCCAAAAATTACACTTTCTTGCCACATAAGGTTTTACTTTTTTTGAGAACCTCTACATAGACTAGACCAATTCTGGTACGAATAATTTGTATGCCGAATTGATGCTATCGACTCCTTTTCACCGTAAAACGCATTTATTTATAAGTAAATCTTATATTAGTTTGGGCAAAAATAAATCCATTATTTTTTCGGTAGATGGCTGCACTGATAGATTTCTCGTAAAGTATCGATCAAACAATTTCAGATTTATGCTCGTTGGATAGGTGACATTTCGCAGTAAAAAAAATTCTTTTGCTGTTTTTTGTTTGGTGCATTCAGTTGTGAGTTACAGCGTGTTAAAAATGGAAGTGAACAAAGTGAAAATTGGGTACATTTTACAGTTTTTCTTTGACAAAGGCGAAAATGCAAGCCAGGCGGCTAAAATTGTGAATGGTGTTTATGGTTCCGATATTGTAACAGCCAATTATGTGCAATTTTGGTTTCGTAGATTCCGTTCAGGAATTTTTGATGTTAAAGATGCACCTCGCACAGGTAGGCCGGTCGTCGAAAATGTCGATAAAATCGGAGAAATGATCGAAGTTGACCGGCATATTAGCAGTCGTAACATCGCCCAGGAGCTAAAAATCGACCATAAAACAGTTTTAAACCATTTACACAAAGCTGGATTCAAAAAGAAGCTCGATGTTTGGGTGCCACACCAATTAACAGAAAAAAACATGATGGATCAAATTTCCATCTGCGAAGCCTTGGCCAAACGGAATGAGATACACCCATTTCTTAAACGGATGGTGACTGAAGATGAGAAATGGATCACATACGATAACCCTGTGCGAAAACGATCGTGGTCAAAGAGCGGTGAAGCACCTCAAACGTCCAGGAAGGTTTTGCTATGCATGTGGTGGGACTGGAAGGGGATGATTTATTATGAGTTGCTTCCATATGGCCAAACGCTAAATTCTGATCTCTACTGTCAACAGCTGGACCGTTTGAAGATAGCGATTGACCAGAAACGGCCAGAATTGGC